AGTTAGGGGAAACACGACATGCACTGTGCTCTAGTATCTAACCCCATAAGGCTTCTCTTAGTGCAGTGGTTCTCAAAATGTGGTCTCTGGAATAGCGGTGTCAGCATCCCCTGAGAATTTTTAGAAATGTGAATTATCAGGCCTCACTCCAACCTACTGAATCCAAAACTCTGGGGATAGGCCCCATTATTTGTTTAAACAAGCACTCCAGGTGATTCAGAGAAATTTGGGAATCACTGTCTTTGCAGAATGCTGAGAGTTTCTTAGAAGATTGGTATAGCAATTTCTTAGATAAATAAAAATGTCAGAAGCAAGAGCTTTTCATAATGAACCTAAGTATATGCAAGAGCTTTAAAAGCACTGAGAGCCAATTCTGCTTACTTCCTCTCACCTACCTTTGCCCCAAAGGCCAAACCCAAGTCCACAGCACAATCCCATGATTTTCATAAAACTTACTCCAAGAGGCTTAGGCCTTAGATGAAATTGACTCTGAAGAAGGCTAATTTCAAATCTTAGAAAACATGCACTTTGGGAGAAGTACACAACAAGATAGAATTGAGGGAGATGTTATAGAAGGATGTTTGATTTGGAATCAGACAGATGAGGTTCCAGTATTAGAGCCACCACTTAGTGTGTGACTTTGAATGAAATACTTAACTTGCCTGAGCTCAGTCTTCTCCTCTAAAAATATGGAGATGCCAATACCTTAATCTTGGAAGGGAATCTATGCCTATAATTTCTTTTTAGGAAAGAGTCCAGAAGCAGTTCCCAAGTTGCCATGCATTATGTCATGTGACCCTGGTCACAACTGATTGAACCAGTAGCTACAGACTAATAGTGCAACATTCTTGCACTTCAGAAAATGTGATTATGTTAAAGCAGAGAGAGTTTTCTATAATTCTTCATTTGATTCTGTATCCAGAAGTAACCTGAGCTGTTTCTTTGCAATAAACACACAATTACCTCATACTGTTGTTATGAGAATTAAATGAAACAAAGCGAGTACAATCTTTTCTTTTTAATTAAATCTTTATTGTTCAGATTATTACAGTTGTTCCTCTTTTTTTCCCCCATAGCTCTCCACCCGGTTCCCACCCCGACCCTGCCCTCACCCCCCCAACTGTCCTCATCCATAGGTGTACGATTTTTGTGCAGTCTATTCCCGCACGCCCACCCCACTTCCCCCCCGAGAATAGTCAGTCCATTCCCTTTCTATGCCCAATTCTATTATATTCAGCAGTTTATTCTGTCCATCAGATTATTTATTCTCTTGATATTTAGATTCACTTGTTGATAGATGTGTATTTGTCGTTCATAATTTGTATCTTTATCTTTTTCTTCTTCTTCCTCTTCTTAAAGGATACCTTTCAGCATTTCATATAATACTGGTTTGGTGGTGATGAACTCCTTTAGCTTTTTCTTATCTGTGAAGCTCTTT